TTTTTACTGGCATGAATCAAAATTAAAACGAAATTTGACTGTCATTTGCGACAGTCTTATAATTAATGTAATTGTAGAGACACAATACCGTTGTTTGATAGTGAAGCTACAGGGAATATAAAGTATAAATATCTTATTTTATGGCCAAAAAATTTATTGAATTGAACTTATTAACACTGATTCAAAACCATTATTGCAGCTTTTATTTTAAAATTAAATAGGTACTTTATACAAGACATGACTCACTATTTTATATTAGGACACTCCAATGACTTACTGATTCATACAAAATATATTATTTATAACAATTCCTGTCATTTAATTATTTTGTAATAGTCTTCTCATGAACTTCTATGTGCTTTATTTACTCGTAAAGTCGTGGTGTTTTATTATGTTAATCAATCGTTTACCGAAACAAATTAAGATACGCAATACAATTGATTAGATTAATAATAATTAATTTTATTACAAACAACTACAATCAAGTAACTGAACATCATCAGTACGTGGTTTTTTTGATAAATGCACCCATTATGTTATGAGTCTGGGTATGATTTGTGTTGCTAGATTAGTTTTAATATCTATATACAACCGGATCACCAACTAGAACGTATAATAAAAGAATTAGCTCACTGGTTAGTATAAGACAATGTATCTTACCTACCTCTTTATAATTTTTATTTTCTTTGTTGTTTATTGATAGGATAATAGTTTGCCATATAGTTTTTCATATATTTTTAATATGATTAATGTATAACCCCATTTACTTGGGAAAAGTATTTACCCGATATAATAAATTTTAAGTAAACTATCACGATTTATTTGTTGTTTGTACTAGCTGCCTAATTATTATGTAATTAGTGTGTCAATATATCGCAATTTGCAACTTCTTAATACGGCGTGCGTGCCCTGCGTCTGGCTTTCACTCACTGCGGCTGAGCACAGGAACTCTATTTTGTGACAGTAAAAAATATTTTCCATAAAATACGAAGAACAAAATTCAATATTTCGAGTCATGCTGGCCACACCCTAAAGACGAACGATTCAAAAATACTAAAAATGACGTTATGCGACTTAAAAGTTGAGTGTGACTTAGGTAGTATACGGCAAGATTTTAAACGAGTGAATCAAAAATAGAGCTCCTAGGGCCGGACGTGCCGGCCGCCGACCGTCTCGCTGGTAGATACATTCAAGCGTAAACTTGCATTGCATAATTGCATTTTACAATACACATAACATAAATAGATGGATATTTATTTGTTTTTGACATCTTAACAACTGTAATATTTTGAAAAATTTGTTTTAACAATCTAGCAATATAACAAATGTAATGTAGGGGACTATAGGTTAATTTGCGTTAAAATTTTATGTACATATAAATTTGTATAACTGTTTGTTCCTGTATCAATTAATTTAAAAAAATCGGGTCCAGTTTCGGGTCAAGAATTAAATATAGTATCGCCATCTAGTGAAATTTATGTTAGTAGTTTTTGAATACATACGTATTATAAATTACTATGTAAGTAAATATGCTTATGACTGGTGAAACAAACTCCATCATACCGCATCAAAAGTCTCGTACCTAAATAGAAAAAAATCTAAAGCGGTCATTCACACAACACGAGAGTACCCGCTTACGGCACTTTGCGAATGCACCTACCGTCAATGTGCATTTGTACACAACTAGATCTAAATCTAGATACAGTCGCAGGTCGATTTCAGACTAACAGCATATTGTAATAACGCGGTGGAACTTAAAAACAAGTATATAACTGATAATGTACAGCATTCTTGAACGGCAAAGTATTATCATGGTTTTCAAAAAATACTTACTGCTTATATTGTACACATTATGTATGTCAGTGTCCTAAAGAGTGCTGCTTTACGTAAATATGTGAATTCCAAATATAAGGCCTCTTTCGTAAAGTTATTTAGACAATGAAAAACATAGTTTCTTTAAACTATATTGTGTGCAATTTCAAATAAAACGGATAATATTTAGGATATAGTTTATTTATTATTATATTAATAAAGGTTTTAGTGTGGTTTGAAAAATAAAATAACCAATGAATTAATATTTCCGTGATCTACGAAATAACTTGTTAAAAATTTCATACAAAAAAAAAACTATAATTATATATTAAGAGAAACTCTTCATTTATAAAAAACTTTCGCTGCGCAAGTGTGATTTGGTCTTGGTCGGTTTTTTATAAATAATTTCATTTATAACCAAGTCAATGACTAACGAATAATTATTAATTTTATAGCAATAATATAATAATAGAACACTTAAGCAGATTTTCCGAGTTATAAATAAGTAACTATCTCTAAAAAAAACAACTCTTTTAGTAGCATCCTTTCGACTATCTTTTGATTGTAAGTATATTCGCCTCAGGGAACTACAAGATACGAAATGAGTTTCAGTCTTCCAAATAACCGTGTCCTACTTGCGAAAGTTTTTGGTATACTTACGTTTCTTAAGAAAGCTTTGACTTTTTTACCAATATTATAAGTAAATTCAGATTTCAAATTGTTTGTAAACGCTTAAACCTTGTTAAGGAATTATGGGTGTAAATGTTTTAGTTTTTCATATATGTTATTAGAAAAATGATCATGTTTCCTATTTATGATGTGTAAGAGACTAAGATGAGTAAGAATTGATCTAGGAACAATATCCATAAAGAACAATAATAGCGTAACTAATACAAATTCTCCGCCAATAAATAAACGCACCGGTAAAAAGTTTCAAAAATAATTTATTAATTTTGTGTTTATCTCATCGTCGTCAGGCTTTTAATATCTCCACTATTGAGGCACATGCCTAGTATATAGTCATATAGGGAGAAAGAGCTACCCACTACACAAGCACAGCACGTGTTTTGGATACTAGCGCACAATTCTAATTCAATTTAAATCAACATGCTTCCGAAGGATAAAGATTCTGAAATATAAACTGGATTCTGAAATACAAATAAATATTTATTCTAGTCACCCGTTCGTTAACAGACTAAGGCAAAAATTGTTCAGATCATGATAAATGAAAGCGCTAATTATCATATACACGTAACGCAAATGCATCGAGAATTGAGATCTTTTCTGGTTAGGAGCTAATTCGCCGAGAATCAAGACACGATTTCAAGTTCAATGTTGCAAACGTTTAATCTATTTAATCATTAGATCTTACTAACTGTCAATGTATAACGAAACGTGTGTAATTAGCACATTGTAGACAGGGTCAATTTTTTCCAATACGAGGACATGGTGTTTCAATTACAACATATTGATTTGAAATAACAATATCAATATTCCAAATTCAAATCTGGCCCTGGTTATTGTTTGAAATAAGATAGCATGTTAAATGTCACTAGCTTACAACTTTACCAAAACTTGATGCCGAAATACCATGCCTTTATCCCTTGACCACAGATTAAATTAATAAACTTGACGTCGGCCTTTGTTGGCATAGAAATTTCATCCTCATCGACTCACAAATGTCTAAGTTTAACGATAATGTTAGTTAGCTGTCACTGGTTGGGTAAGTTATGGTTCGTAGGGAATGATCAAAGTCTGATACAATACAACAAAACAACTAGAATTGACTTGTTAGTGGAACTATTTTATGAAAAATGATTTCTGTAGGTTGATTTAAATAAAACTTTATGATTTTGTCTTAGAATAATACTGTATCAGATACCAGGCAATAGCAGAACTAGTAATCAGAAAAATAGTTTTTTTCCATCATGTCTGAAATCGACTCTGATTGGGTGTTATTAAAATTATATGATGCATTTATATATTAAAATTTAAATATCAAAGTAGCACCTAGTCATCTACAAGGTATTTTTTCGAGTTTTTTTGGTAATTCAATAAATAGAAATATCACTAGCGTATTTTTAGTCATATAAACAATACGTTTTTGAACTAAATGAATTTACTCAATTTCGGACGCATTGTGGTGTTCCGTTCCACTTTTATTTGAATCGCATGCAAATTAATGTTCGAATTTTAAAATACAACAATTGTATGTTGGAATAGTTAATATTATATCTGGGTTAAAATATGGAATCATTGAAATGAGCACGCTTTAGGTTTAAACGATTTAAAATATACATTCGAATAAATTCATATTAAAGCTTTTTAGCATGGATTAATTGACAGCGTATGCTTAACATACAAAAAAGGGTCATACATTTTGAAACCACTCCCTGAACTTCGCACAAGTGCAATATTTCTATATGTCGCAGTAAGTAAGATAGAAATAACCGTAATACCATTATATCCCTAGGAATATAAATATATACAAAATAGTTTCATTGCAATTTTATGGTCACGATCTGCCATTAAATCCGTATCCCTACTGAAGTTGTTTAGATTTATGATAAATTCAATGTTAAAACCTAGACCCGATTAGTTTTATTTGTAAGAGAAATATCGGCCGTTACTTTATTATATAAAAAAAAAAAATCAGACAGAAAATATAAATTATCAAAAGGATCTAATGATTTGTAGAAATAGCATGTTTATATGTCAGCGTTATATAATTCTGGGTTCTGAAAAAATTAACTACGGAATTTCCTATCAGTTCCGTTCATATATCAAAAATCTAATCCAATATATTTGATCATCCTCCAGATCTTGGTAAAAATTCTGTCTTTATCATGAACCAGCGACATTTTCATAAAACTATAGAATATTTAGCCCTCGCCGCAGCACCTTTGCACTACACTCCTACAATTATTTCTCTAAACTTATTCGAATAATAAGGTGAGCAAACATACAGTAAAAATATTACAGCATAAATCAATTCTTCAGACAATTTAAACAAAATTAGCAAAAATGACATTAATATCAGGGTTGAACTTTTAGTTTATCGTATTTAGGCAGAAGTGGATAAACGTAAATATTATTATGTGACAACTAATATTATCTATAGATAAGTCTATAAACTGTAGTAATACCGGTAAGGTTAAAAAAAATTCAAACTGCCTTCTTTGTTACAGTGCCACCACATCAACTGATCCTGTATGACAAATCTGGAAGAGACGTCTCTGGAGTAGTAGGACCGCTCGAGGAGGGAAATGAACTAGTTCTCGTCTGTGAGGTTAGAGGTGGTAAGTACAACCAGCCTTTATCAGTTTCTTCTTTACAGTACCACTAAACTAGCTGATTTTTAGCAATCATTTTTAGCAGGCGTACAATAGGTTTGCACAAGATATGTTGAGAACAAAATTGGACTGGATATTTTTGTTAGTTTATTCATAACAACTGGAATATGGAAAGGGCGAGCATTCTAATAGCGTATTGTTGGAAGCCAAATCAAGCTAATATATGAAAGCAATACAGAATTGTTTTTTTTATTTTCTCTGTAATATGTCATATTTTTAAGTTCCAATCGTTTCTTCCCTATTCTCGCTAGTAACATGTATTTCATCTGTTTTTTCACCGTATTTTATTGTTATCCATTCACCATTTTCACTGCAAAATATTCTGCTTAATATATATCAATTGAGCTCATACATTATCAAGTGAGCCCATTTATTAAAAATATCCTCAAAATTGATAACACCATGAAGCACCAAACGATTATTCGTAAAAAAAAACTAATCACATTAAAGTGGCTCCCGCAAAATAAATTATTGCATATCGACACCACAAATCACCGTTATATTAGTCAAGAAATAAGCACTTCCAAAGTGGGAGATGAGAAATTAAAGTGATTACTTTGATATATCGCTGTTAAACTTACCGATAAGTCAGTCGGGGATCGGCGCCAAATGGCAGCCGCTGCAAAGTTATCCATCGCTCCGGGCTCGATGGAACCAGACGTGGAATTAGACGCACCACTGCGCAATCAGAACGAATTTTCCGAATGTTAATTTTTACTTTGAGCGTATGATTTGCTCATGTTTTTGTTGGGTTGACTTATATTTTTTATTGTGCTAATATTCCAGAAACTTATTCCACTGATAATCTTTCATTGTTAAAACTTCTCAATGGAACAACGATACTGGATTTCAGACCTACTGGTTCGATGATATATATTCAAGCACATTTTCTCATTTCTAACAATCGGGAATAAATTAACTTTATCTTTAAAGTAAGTCTGCCAAAGAGGTTTTCCTAATTTTGTAAAACAACATGTTTCCGAGTCTTATCATAACACGATGTGGTCACAATAAAATAAATACCGAAATCCGTGTCGTGACTGTCATGCTATTCGACCACAACGCGTTGTGGCAATGAAGAAAAACCATGAACCGTATTTCGATTATTGAGTGTATATATATATATATATATCACTTACGAACTGAAATTATTTTTTAACAGCCCAAAACAAAATTTATTGGAATTATGTGATTACTTCTAACCTCCACTATTATTACTTCATCAAAAAACATTCTAACCTCCACTCCTATATACAGAATCATGAGAGATCATTTTCATATTGCTCTTGGCTGATTAGTCATTTGTGTTTTCGTCTTCGTTAAACGAGGAGAAATAACAATAGCAGTTGAAATGAAAACTTTTAATTAACTGAGTCCCTTTTGATTCCTGTCGAATTTAAATAATAAAATATTGAAGAGTGTTGTAATTGCCCTTGTTAAAATATACAGAGTTCTGCTTTCTGATCAGAATTATAATACCTTAATGTATTTTTTGATATTGACTACGTCTAATTCATAAATACCGGTATTTCAATAGCGATTTTTTATAATCGCATTTTTTAAGAGAATAGTTTATATTAATCGAAACAAAAACGACAAGTAAATTAAAATAAAAGTTATGCAATCGTTCATATAATTTCTTAGATATTAAGTAAATATTTTGAGATGATACAATTCTGTTTCGAGTTGCTACTTTTTAACACTTTTTGTAATCATTATGGTAAAAAAAACGCGTTATAAACAAATAAATGAGTGTACCTTGAAATGTGGTATTCGGAAATTAAAACGCATTTGAGCACGTGTTATTTGAAGATTCAGTTAATATTTTTGTAATTATTTGGTCTTTTGCAAACATTTCAATTATTCAAATATAGCGAAATGTCATTAAATTCTATTAAATAAGTCCATAATAATATTATTATATGATCTGAGTTTATGTCGCAAGTTCTTCTCAAACACGGTTCCCGATTTAAAGTAGAAGTAGTACAGGAGTTTGGGAAAAAAAAACTGTCGTACCGTACCGTACCGGTACCGGAACAGTAAATAAATACCTATATATATTCTATATATGTTACGTAGTAATTTTAATAGATAATTTAATAACTAATTACGTGGGAACCGTGGGAGAGCCACGCTTCGGCATGAATGGGCCGGCTCGACCGGAGTGATACCACGGCCTCACAGAAAACCGACGTGAAGTAACGCTGGCGTTGTGTGTCGTCGTGTGAGTGAGGGTACCGGAGGCCCAACCCCTCCCTATTCCCTTCCCTCTACCCCTCAACCCTTACCTCCAAGGCCGGCAGCGCGCTTGTAGCCCCTCTGGTGTTGCAGGTGTCCATGGGCGACGGTAATCACTTACCATCAGGTGATCCGTCTGCTCGTCTGCACCCTATCCCATAAAAAAAAAGTCGATTTAAAGATCACGAAGTAATTGAATAAAAAAAAATTATATAGTTTAGGCAGTCGGAAATAGTAAAGTAAAAGAAACTATGCCCTTGGTTAGCCAATTTACCGCGAAAGACCTTGTAATGAGAAGAATCAACAAGCAATTTGGCAATGACTGCTTGTTTCTACCTGTCCGTATTAATATTTTTATGTTCAAAAGTTACTTCATTAAATTCCTTGCCTATACAAATATTATAAAGAGGAAGGATTTAATTGTTTGCATTATTTAGGCTCTGAAACTAATAGATTGCTTTTAAAAATTCATTCACACAAACTTACGCGGGCTTATAATTTACGCGGGTGAAGGCAGGGGAAAATAGCTATTTTATAATATAGGAGTACTGACTTAGTACTCCTATATTATTAATTATTATTATATTATTACAATATTTACGTTTCAAAGTAAACTAAGTATTTAAATGATAATGTCAGAGATACATTTATCAAAAATCCTTTACTTCTTCGTCTATTTCATCCTGATCTTTGATGGCGAAATCACACACAATCATATTTACAAAATGTAAGTTTGAAATCTTCTGTGTAAACCGACTTTAGTCCCGGCGAAACGCTTAATGTTTTGAGTTGGAATTATGCATAGCCCTGGGGATTAGCGGGTTGTCATACCGTGTCGTTCCACCGACTTCGGACGAACTATTTCCAAGGTATGATGTACGTATACTAATAAATAGATCAACTAGTTTCGGGGAAGCTAAAATGGTTTTGTTTGCGGTATCTTTGCTTTGCGAGCCGGTAGAAATTTAATTTGCGATAGTGTAACTAACTTATCCTGTGTTGTCGATTAAATTAATTAAGTTCTATGTTAAGGTCCTTAACTTTGATAGATTCTATTGGATATAGATAATGTAATCATTTATAAAGAGTACACTTGCTTTAATTATATGATTTGTACGAAGTTCGTTTATTAAAGAGATTTTTTTAGAGTACAGCTAATATTCAATTATGACATTGATGATGTTAGATCAAAATATATTTAAAGAAACATCTTTGACATTTTGCTATAAAAAAAAAGAAGATGAATAAATACATTTTCTTTTTTTGTGTAATAATAACTTAATACCAACAGACATAAAAGACTTCTGTTTTCTTCAAATCAAATAATCGTCATCGGTTAATAGATCAAATATTCCACCTAATGCCCATTGGTCAAACTGATAACTATCAATAGTTTATAGTTAGTTTCAACTTGTTTCTCATTAATTGTATGAACCAATATTACCAAAGTTATAATGTGGGTGTCATTTGGCGCCGATCGATCTCCAGCGAAATTACTTTACTAATAAGTATATAAATTACCGCTTATAACAGAAACAAGGCTTTGAATTGGATGTCATCGAAATAATTAAAGAAGTTTTGATCTTTGAATGAACAAAGTATTGAAAAACAGACGTTAATTATATAAGCCATCACTTTAAGAAGACAAGTATTACAATGTAACTTGGATCATTAAAAACGATAAGAATATTTTTATTTTTCATTATAGCATTGTGAATTCAAAATTGATCAAATATAATTTCTAAAGAGGTGCATATATTTACTACTAAAATAGGTAAAAAAAATGAGTCACTAAAGTGTCAAAGAACAATAAAATATTATAGTCTTGTTCAAAAGTAGTTTCGACTAAATAGTTCCCTGATGCGTCTTTCGCAAAAAGCAAGCTACAATAATCCCAGACCTAAACAAACTTGATCCCTCACTACTTTTTGCTACCAGAAAGAAAGAAGTTCGCCATGTACATAAAGCAACACATGAAATTGACCTTGAACTTTACCTGAACGTATTAAGTTTTAAAATCCTATAAAGATATACTCCACAAAGTTATAATGAATTGATCAATTTCAACATTTTCGGCAAAAAGTCTATGTTTTATCTATTTGTATTATTTCTAAATATTAAAAGAGGAAATAAAAATCATTTTTTAAAATTGACATCATGAGCCGTAAGAGGCACTGCTGAACAAAGCCTCCCCCACAGATCACCACGACGATCGGTCCTGCGCTGCCCGCATCCAGCGGCTTCACCCAACCTTTATGAGATCGTCGGTCCACCTAGTGAGCGTCCTACCCACTGAGCGTCGTCCGAAACGTGGTCGTCATTCGTGAACTTTTCCGCCTCACCGGATATCAGTTCTTCTCGCCATTAAATAGAATAAGCCACCTCAATAATTTATGACGTCATGTTAGTGTACCTATGGTCTACATCTCGATACTCGATGTAATGATTTACTTTTAAATTATTTCATTACTACCCGTTTATAAGATGTAGTAATTTCATTTAAGGCATAAAAAACTTAGTCTATATAGGCTTGTCTTCTATAATATTAATCTTGTTTCCATTAAAACATTGGCGTTTTAGGATTGAATGCTTCTTTTGAGTTATCAAGGCAAAAAAACTTAGTCTTTATAGCCTTGTCCTCTATAATATTAATCTTGTTTCCATTAAAACATACGCGTTTTAGGATTGAATGCTTCTTTTGAGTTTTCAAGGCAAAAAAACTTAGTCTTTATAGCCTTGTCCTCTATAATATTAATCTTGTTTCCATTAAAACATTGGCGTTTTAGGATTGAATGCTTCTTTTGAGTTTTCAAGGCAAAAAAAAACTTAGTCTTTATAGACTTGTCCTCTATAATATTAATCTTGTTTCCATTAAAACATAGGCATTTTAGGATTGAATGCTTCTTTTGAGTTTTCAAGGCAATCGAAAATGTTTAGTTTGTATTTAAGTACTAAATTCACCAACCAGTGTTATTTTTTTCTCTTGCAGTCACTTTAATGAAACAAACACATTATACACATTATAACAAAAAATATGCAGCAACATAAACGGATACTATACGACTTGTTATTTCACCCTAAAACTCCTGAAAAGAATCCATTTGAGTAATTTTATGTGTATGTTTTTCTTTATTAAAGGCAAAGGCATCTATACCATAAAACGTAGTCTAAGGTAATATTTTTCCCATATTATGACAAAAATCTCATTTTTTTATAACCAACGATTATGTTAGTGTTGCATACTCAACATACGGGTTTCACACTAACTTAAGAATTCACGTAAAAATCTTTTTTTTGTATAATACTCTTTCGAATAGTCAAGAACTGCTTTATGAAAAAAACTAAAAGTATTACTGACTTTATTGATTTGTCCTCCTTCGTTTCGATATAAAAGTTTCTATCTCGATTCTACCACAGAGTTTAAGAACAGCAAGTTTATCAAAGTTTCAGAACAAGTGGAGTAAAATGATCAATACCATCCAGTGAACAGTGGGAGCGATAACATAATAACGGCGGCAGTTTCAATGTACACAACTTTTCGATTATTAACATTTGCGACTCTAAAAGCTATGCAATAAGATTTGTTTCAAAGAACCTTTTTTTGACAGCAATACTTAGCACTGGCTTTTTTACCAATAAATTGTTTTATATTAATATTCAATACTCTTAATTAAAAGGCCTCAGATAAAAATCATTTGCCATTCCCATTTCAAAATCGATATGTAAGAAGAAAATATCTTATAAGTATTTGCCTATATAGTCCTGACGCTGGTGATTATACCGAATTTGACGGTTCTTTATGTGGACTCTGAGGCTGACACGCTATTGTATTTGATTGATGGTTTACACCGCCTTTTAACTTAAAATACATGTCAAGCAAGACTGGTGTGAACGAGCTTTTGTTCTATTTTTTATAGAAGAATGCTAGTTTCCCATTTGGTAACAGAAATTTGTTTGCTTTTTGTTGTTTGCTTTATTTTCTTTAAAACCTATAATATAGTTTGATAACTATTCTACAAGCTTTTCTATAACTTGAAATGTATGTATTGGTATTAAATTAAAGTATTTGATAACAATAGTCAAATTACATCGTTCTAAATCCAGTATCGCCTATGATGGTGTAGTAGTCATGTTTTAAGCGCCCCTATAATATGAGTATCATATCAAAGATCACAATATTACACTTTATTAGTAGGTTACTAAAAAAAGTAAAAATCTGACTCGCGCACGGTTCCCATACCATTATCTACAAAACGCAAAAAATCACGTTTGTTATATATAAGAGTTGTTCGAAATTTTCGGGTCAAATACAATTAGTAGACTAATAGTCGTAAACTTGTGAAGTCAACTTATTTGTGATAGTTATCCTTTTAACTACTGTCATGACGTTTGAATTTTTGACAACAACCGTTTAGTTGGTATAGGGGTGTCACTTTTTTCAAAATTTGATGCGAAATTTTCAGTTTTCTCATATCGATAGTTTATGAGCTAGACCCCGAACGGATGGATAGACAGACAGACAGACATGGCTAAACTATAAGGGTTCCTTGTTGAGTACGGAACCCTAAAAACGAAAAAAAAAAGAATTAATTATAATAAGTTTAAAAAAAAATAAGGCATTGAATATTAACGCTCGGATCGGTAGTACCTATATGCTCAATCTCAAACCAAATTTTTTATCGATAATACTTAGTTAACCTTCATTATAAGGGTGTAAATTGGGTTATAATACATGTACGTTCATTCGACCAAAGAGGTCATTACTGGAAGACTAAAGTTTTGCTATAGTCTTGACATATAAGTATCTCGATAGGACAACGAACCTTCGACGACGCTAATCGATTAAGTTCTCACTACTTATGCAAAACTCGACCTATCGACCCAACTTAATGTTAGCTCTTTACCTTATAACCTAGAACGGTTCGGGAGTCTTCTATTGAAGAGTTTTGACAGAGTTTTAGGTAGATGAGTTTGCAAATATTACTATGGACTATGTAACTATCAATTTTGTTATATTTTCACAAAAAACTTTCGATAATTTAAGAATTTTACCGAGTTCAATCTGTAATATACTTATTATATAAAAAAATATGTAAACTTGGGACTTTTAAATAATACTTTTAAGACGACGTAAACAACTATTTTCATTGGTTCAAGAAATAACATTCAGGAAAGCTATAATTAAAAATGACAATACTACATTAAATTATCAGGAGTATATAAAATTTTCTCAATCAGAAAAAATACAAATTAACCTTATTTATTTCTTCAGGGACAATTGGTATAAGTATAAGCGGGTTACTAAGGCTTACAATTAATTAATTAAAAATAGTTTTATAATCGCTCCTCAGTCCCTATTTATCTCATTGGTGTATGAGATTGAGAGACACAAGAGACTGTTCCTTCTTAAGTAAATATTATGTATTCTACTTAATTTTCTCATCATATAATATATAAAATTCTCGTGTCACAGTTTTATTTACCATACTGCTCCGAAACGGATTTGCCGATTTTGCTGAAATTTTTACATAGCTTATAAGTTACAAACTCCTAAAACGCCATCCAAAACTCAATTGAATTTTTCAGACCAACCTAATGTACATACATCTTTAATCCTTAATAAAATTCATGGAACGTGTCTGAAGCCAATTGAACCCGCGATCCCTTACTCGCGGCAGCATTAATAAGCCGCTCAAAGTTTCAACAACAATTTCGTAATACATTACACATTCTTATATTAAGCACACCGTGTTCTCGGTTTATGTTAAATCGACCATTGCTCTAAACTTTATAATTAATTCTTAATGAAAAATGCTTAAGAAATCCCCTTTGCCCTGTGGTACTCTGAGATGAGATGGCTCCAACCACCATGATGGCTCCTACAAGACTGACGAATCTCAAGCTTTTTTTCCGCTACTAACGCGCGTATTTTCGGCTTAGCATGCGTTCCGAAGCACGGAGAAGCTCGAGATAATAAATTTCGGCTCCTATCACCCATACTGCCGCCTGCCAGCCTGTTACGAAAGTTGCTTAACAACCGTATCGCAGACCGACCTCAGTAAGCAGGACAGAATGTTATTCTTCATACTGTTTCTTTCTTTTATATTTCCTCAAACACTCCATGATGGCCAGGATATGGTGCTATTAGTTCCCTTTGTGTACCGCACATTTTGTACCGTTCGCGACGCCTTTATGGTTGCCGCGGATTTGTATTATGACGCATTTGGCGTAAAAATAAATCAGTTCGAATATTGAAACCATTCGACTCAGTTGTATCATTTTTCGTCTCCTTATCCTTATATTTCCTCAGAACATCCTCCTTATCATTCTATCAGCTATCAATCCTATCAATTATCATTGTTATCATTTATCAATTAAATGTGTAGGGTTAACCTTTTACCCCCCTTTATTTATTTTGAGGCTCTAATTTACGTCTGAAGTGTCCGTTTTTATCGAGTCTTATCTAGTAAACTATAAGGTATATTTGAACCGAAACTATTTTTGATGCACTAGTTTGAATTCGTATATAACAGAAATCACACTCGATTCTTACAGGCGAATGAATGAAATAGTATTATTGCATCTTTGTAATTTAAATGTGAAAGATTAACGCCCCTAGGCAGTTCCGTTTTTTATCTATTTTATAAATAAGATTACTATTTAGGGTGTAATGTTTTGTAAAATACTAATTTGCCAACTGTTTGACTTTCTTTGTTCCTCCAGGTCGTCCTGCTCCTACAGTGGTGTGGCTAATAGATGGCACTCCAGCTCCGCAGTACATTGGAGAAAAGACTGACACGCATGTAGTAGTAAACAAATTAGAACTACCACATGTGAGACGGAACCATTTGAATACAACATTCAAATGTAGAGCATCGAACACTAACCTTGTTAGTCCACAGGAGAAGACTGTAAGACTTGAGATGAATCGTGAGTAAATTAAAACAATAACGATTATATTTTATTGTTCACTAACTGAGCAGGCGATCTTTGTACCGCCTTTTATTTCTCCAATCGTAGCTCCTATTTAATTTTTATGCAAACCTTGTCCTGACAATAAGGAATACGTATGTATTCCTTATTGTCAGGACAAGGTTTGCAAGGTTTTTGTATAAAAAGAATCATCCAATTTGGTGCAATCGTCATTCAGAAGTTATGCGCGTATATAAATTTATGAATTTTATTTGTATAAATGTCAACGAAAATGTAAATTTTGTTAATGGCACGATACGCCATTAAAGAAAATGATGTTATATAAAATCAATTTAAGATTTATTTATATCAACACAATAGTGCTAAATCTTGAATGAACAGAGTCTGATGTTAAATTAAGACATGACGCTCGAAGCAAGATAAAAGTTGCAAACTAAATGCAGTCCATTTTAAATTTCACGTCACTATCAGCCAAATGCACAAAAGCCCATTAAAATTATCATTAATTTAAAATGACATATTCTATACAAATTTGACATTCATTAGAGCTTAAAAGCGTCATTAAACCTTAATGGACGTTGATGCAATTGATGTTATAAGTTTCAAATAAAATTATATTTGATTAAATAACTGTCAATTTTGCAGTGCGGCCGACTCTCGTGGAGATTCTAAATAAACCCACGACGCTGTCCTCGGAGAGGTACGTCAGCTTGACGTGCGTATCCGAGGGAAGTAGACCGCCAGCTCAACTAACCTGGTATAAAGACAATAGAAAATTCAAAAGAGGAAAGGTAAATATTTTGAATCAGTTATTCACAATGATGACAGTAATTCAGCTTATATATAATCTGAAGGGATTGCTAGGTGTTATAAAACCCCTTGCCTAAATTTTGTTGTAACGGGATTCGAACTCGTCACTATTATTTATTACGCACAATAGCCTACGCGATATATTAACTAATAATTAAAACACGTCACGATAATACAGTTTTTTTTTTTACTTTAAATAGATAAACTAAAATAGACAAGAAATAGAAGCTTTTATAAAAAAGCGATAAGCGCGAACTATTTATTTTAAGCAATGAAAGGTGGCGAAAGCAAAGTAAGAAGTGTAGCTCGTCGATCCGTCGTTGCTTTATACTCATTTTGTCCTGCGCCCGCGCTTGGGGCTGGTAGGCAGTGGCTTGCGGATGCGTCGAACACCCTTTCTAGGCCGCGCACCAATTAGCGGTGCATTAGGCGGTCCTTACAGCCGGACAGGGGGCCAATTCTACTAAATAAATTTTGTTTAAATCGAATCGAAAACGGAACGAAACCGAACGAAACTACAACTTTTAGTGGTTTTCCTATTCTACTCGGTGTCAAAATGGCGTCAAACGATACAGTTCCGGTTCTATTTTAGTTTAGCTAACTATCGATCAACAGAAACTGTAAACGGTATTCTACTCGCTCAATCGAACATAGAACTATACAGATGTAGTTATGCAAACCGGAACCAACCCACAAATCTGTCAAAATCGAATTATGTGCAGAGAAGCCTAAAAGTGTTGCAATTAAACTCACATGTTGTAAATTCACAAAATTTCTTGATAAATAAATAAAATAAAATATATTCTACAAACAATTATTACTAAAAACAAGAAACCCATTTTTCTCAAAACTGACATCATGTGGCTGGTTTGCATAACTACGTCCATATACTTGAGTCGTTCGTCGGCCTTATTCCACTAAAATTTTGACACTTCGTTGGATCGAAACGCTACTGAAATGTTACTAAATCCGAACGTTTCATCTGTCAAAATTAACGATTTCTAAAAAGTTGCAAATTTCTACTTTTTGACGATCGATAGTTAGCGTTTAATGATAGATGTGAAACAATTTATATTATTTAAAATTTTAAGAGGTGCAATTAGGTACCCCCAATTGCTGAGTGAAATAAAATACCTTGATCCATCTTCAGAATTGATAATTAAAAACATTTTGCCCTACAAAAGTAACTTCGGCAAACATATTTGTAGTGTTTGTATAGAAGAGGTTTTATCTCGGTACATTGGAGAGCTGCGAAACGTGTTCTTCGGTACCTGAAGGCTATAAAAAATAGGAAACTGACCTATAACAATAGTGGTGATCTAATCGGATTTGCTGATGCCGATCATGGTGGTAATCTGGTGGACAGACGATCCTATACAGGATATGTTTTCCAAATGTGTGGTTCAGCAGTGTCATGGGAATCACGTAAACAGTGAACCGTTGCAACATCAACAACAGAAGCTGAGTACATGGCTCTAAGTGAAGCCTGTAAGAAAGCCATCTACATTCGCTCATTACTAAGCGACATCTTTTGCTTTTCGTCACCCATCACCATTAATTGTGACAATCAAAGTGCCATCAAATTAACAAAAAACAACACGCATCACGCCCGCACAAAACATATTGATATTAGACATCATTTTGTTTATGAGTCTATATCCACTAAACAAGTCAATGTGTCATTCATACCATCAGCTCACCAAACAGCAAACATTCTCACAAAGCCACTGCCTAAGCTGAGACACTATATGTGCCTAACTAATTTAGGATTAGTTTAGTGTTATTTGTTTTGTGTTATTAGGTTAATTAGGTTAGGGCATCAGTGTTAAGGTACTTTTGATATTATTGTTTTTGTACATACAGTGTGTTTATATAAAGGGTGTACATAAGTGTCCTGATTACGGGGAGGTGTAGATAAAACCTTTTTCTATATTAATCAGACACTGGCATCTTTTCATATACCTTTTTGAATTAGTATTTTATACACTGTTTATTGTTTTTTATGTCATTCTCTTCTTTACTCTCATCTGACTTTTATGTATTTACAACGTGAAATATATTAAATACTCCAATCCACTGTGACTTTTAATTCCTACATTTTAAGAGTTTGTGAGTGAGTTATCAATAGACTGTAAAGAACATAATAAGTTGTGTAAATCCATTGATATGTTTGCTTTATCCTTAATTATTTATAAAAATACCTTATATTAAGGTACCAAAAAATTTTAATCTTTGACTGTCTAGCACTTCAAGCATATAAAATTTTCTATCCAATATTATTTATTTCACAAAGATACAAGGATACTTTCAATGAGCACCCTGACGTCTGAAGTAAATATACAAAATTTGGGTATCAAACACCAGATTCCTCATCTACCTCATGAGAACATAGCAATCCATGTGATATAAATTATGTAAAATGATTAGAAAAAAAATGAAATCGAAAACTATGGAGCTAGATAAACAAGTGTGATAGTGCATGCATATGTTTAATAAACTTTTTATGTACACCTTTTTATCTATTTGTTATAGATAGTTCTGTAATTTTGTGGTTGCTTATTGATATGTAAAAATGTTGGCAGACTTTAAAAATAAAATAAATTATATCTTGATTATTAATCTTAAATTATTATTTTTTATTAAAAACTTACATTTTATAGATAAATTAATAGGTTTTCATTCCTCTATCAATTTGAAATGTTGAATTCATATTATGAAGATTCTTAACATAAATAAGGTCCACCTAGTTGAGGCATGTAATGTAAATTAAAATTGAAAAATTATATTTCTGTTAAAACTTTACATAATTATAAACAATCATTGTAAATAGGAACATCGTAAAAATCATTATTAGATTGTAGGGGCTTTTGGCTTTAAGTAAACTTATCTATGATTATAAAAACATGAATTTTTGAATATTTTGTATTGTAAAAAGTAAACTATTGTAGTATTTTTACAGGAAAACTTAAAAGTGTGTATTTACAAGCATGTGTGGAATTCCAATAAAAATGGCACTGAAAAAGTCCTTGTTTACAAATTAATTAATTTATCATTATTTTTTCTGATCACTTTTGCATTTGCAATACTATACGAGGGTCAAACTGAAAGTTCTTAGAACTGGCCACTTATAAACAATATAATAAAAAAATAATTCTAAAATTTGAAAATATAACTCTTTGCCAATATTACTGAGTATATATTTCATTTATTTGTCATTTGTTTTACGATTTGGCGGCAAATTGAAAATTGTCTGTGTCACGTCATCATGAATTTAACACGAGAAAATTTTCGTGCAATGATTTTTTATGACTTTCGATGTCATTTAAGTCAACAAGAAAGTTATGATAGACTACGATTGGCCTTTCACGATGAAGCCCCATCTCGTGCGACTGTTTACAACTGGTTTAATGAGTTTAAACGTGGTCGCACTAATCTCACTGATGATTTACGTGAGGGACGGCCTTCTACGGCGACGACTGAAGATAACATCTGTGTTGTGCGGCGTATGATAGAGACTGACAAAAGAGTGACCTATCAACAGATTCGGACAAGCTTAGGCATCGGTATGAGTCAAGTGCACAAAATCCTCCACGAACATTTAGCGGTCAGGAAGCTTTGCGCCCGGTGGATACCTCATAATTTGACTGAGGCTCAAAAACTCCATCGTGTGGATTGGTGTCGTAAAATGATTGAAAGATTTAACGGAGGTGACTCAAATGCTGTGTTCGACATACTAACAGGTGACGAAAGCTGGATTTACTGTTATGATCCTAAAACCAAAAGACAATCTGCTCAGTGGGTGTTTCCTTTCGAGGAGTTGCCAACTAAAGTGAAGAGAGATCGAAGTGCGGGAAAAAAAATGGTGGCCTCGTTCTTTGGAAGGATAGGTCATTTTGCAACAATTGTGTTAGAGGATCAAAAAACAGTTTCTGCAGAATGGTACACTACCAATTGTTTGCCACTTGTCTTGGAAAAAGTTCGAGAGAAACGACCTCGCAGTAGGATCCTCCTTCACCACGACAACGCCTCGTCGCACACCGCCAAGCGAACGATCGACTATTTGGCGACATCAAACGTTGAATTACTGGGTCACCCGCCGTATAGCCCCGACCTCGCGCCTTGTGATTTTTATTTATTTCCAAAAATTAAAGAAAAACTTAAAGGAAAGCGGTTTATGAATGCTGAAGAAGCGGTGGCTGCGTATCGCGATGCCATTGAAGAGACCCCTAAGGACGAGTGGGCAAAGTGCTTTTCCCAGTGGTTCCATCGCATGCAGCGGTGTATTGACGTGAATGGACAATATTTTGAAAAGATATAATAAAACTAATAACTGGCTAATGTAATCAGTTTTTGATTTTCTAAGAACTTTCAGTTTGACCCTCGTATCAATATTTATCTTAAAGGAAAATAATTAAAAAACCCATAAACACTCACAGTCTGGGCGTCTGCTAAAACCAATTTAACTACCAGATAACCAGCAGGTTTTGTGAATTTAAGAATTACTTGCATTACTAGTGAGCATATGCTCATTTATGTTTAGGAAGTTCACCAAAACTATATTAATAATACCATTATAGAGAATAGAATCGAAAATTCTTTATTGTTAACATTACACAAGTTATATAGGTATACAAATTTAAAACAGTTTAACAAAATAATGTAACAATTGGCGGCCTTATCGCTTAAAGTGATTTCTTCCAGGCTATCATGGGATGGAGAGAGAGAGATAACAATTTATGAAGACAGGGGTGTAAATTTTATCAATAACATTAAAAAGAAAATATGATCAAATAATAATCTTAATTAAAAAATTATAATTATGAATATTTTTTTTTCTGACATAAGTATTACTCACTTTTTTATTTGGAGATTATAATATTATAAAGGATTATTACATCATATCATCATCATGTTTAAAGGATTGTTAAACAGGTAAATATACCGTTAATAAATTTTATTCTGAATTATTTTTAATTTTAAAAATTACATAAAATTGAGCTTAGCCGCAGCTCAGTTTTATGTAACATTTGAAATAACATGAGGCTTTCTGTAACCATATATTAAGTTGCGTGCAAGATAAATGTTCAGCCTAATTAGTATTACCTACATGAAAAATACATATTCTACTGTTTTTGACACAAAGTTAAAACCAACCACCAATTTTAACCCAAAGAAAACTGTCATACGCTATGATGGGTTACAATTTAGAACAAAAAAAATAAGCCTGTGAATCAGGAGCTGTTGTTCAATTTTGCAGGAATTTATATGTGTAAGTTCTTTTATATCAGTTGAAACTTATACTTAATTTGCTCATAGTCAGCATGGATGACAGCTGCGAGCAGATCTATGCAACTACAAGAATTTAATTTGTATACAACTTAATGTGAAAGATATGTCAAATCATTAATAATTTTCTCTGATCTTACTTATAATATCTAGTCAATAATGACATTTCTAATGGGTTTCTATAACAAACATTGTTTGAAATTTAATCTTGTATAGATTTTCCACAGTATATATTATGTTGCCTTGCTTGATTCAGTGTACAGATGTAGGTATAGCCCGATTTCGAAAGATATTGGATTCATTTCATCATCAATAATTCTCTCTTAAATGTCTACTTTGAGTCGACTATCGTTTATCTTCTTCACTTTGTTATTGATACGTATGAATATTTATTTTCAATCGAAAACTTCTTCTTTTATTAAGGGCTTTCGCATAATTCTGCCAATTTCACGTGCGTAGCCAATACATGGTATGAATTATTTAATAAAATTAATTTTGTAAATAATATTTTCAAGTATAATGTTTCACTTTCTATTACAGTTTAATATTACAAAAAAATACACATATGCGGATTGTTTTAGTAGATATCCCATATTAAATTGTCATTTACAATTAAATTTTTCAATTTCATTCTTCTTTTATTAAAGTCAAGTGAATAAATTAATTTCTACATGTAAAATGAAAAAGCAATGAATGAAAGATTAATTAAAACATTATCTGTATCATTGTGGTTTGTATTGACAAAAAGTGAATTGGTGTTGCAATATGAAAATCAAACATCGATTGGAAAATAATCGATTAATTCACTATATGTAATAGAACTGCAGTAACATTTATTGAATAAAAAAAACTTTAATATACTTTTAGTTAATTTTGGTGCAATTTTGCATTTTTCCTAAGTTTTACGGATTACTACGGTTGTTGATTCAACAACGCCCAAATAAATATATATATATGTATATATATATATATATTATTATTATTATTATTATGTAATTTCCAATGCCCGTAATTGGAAATGTTATATGAAAACCTAATGAAGTCCCATAAAGTCACAATATGAACTATCCATGTAGTTTGATGAAGTCCGATGATATTCAATGAAGTTTAATGAATTCTGTTTAAATGGATTGAAGTTACTAAAGTCATATGCAATCATCATTTAACTTTAACATTTAATTTTTAGTACAAACAAATATATAAATTTAATGATTATTTTTGTTGTACATTCTTTTGAAACGGAGTTGTTTAAAGTAAAGTATACACCTCTGGATTAATGCTCGTCCTAGTCTTGGACTGATTGCATACCTCACTTATTACAGTTTGTTAGTGATCGAAAATGAGTCAAAACTTTTCTGTTCACGACCTACCTATGTAGGTACCGTTTTATTTTACGGAATCATATTATTCACTTTCATGCTACTTTATCTCACATAATAACATTTATTTTGCGAATTAAAACTCGGTATAAACAATAAAATAAACCAACACCATTCGAATTTTGAAACTTAACTCTTTAAGCTTGACGTTATCTTTAGTCGACGCCAGGATTAATAGTATTTCATCTGACTTTTTTGTTAATTAAAAGACTTAATTATATCGGATTTATGCTTTAAATATTAAGCATGTTTAAAGTTGAGTGCTTAATAAAAGTTAGAATTGGGTATATGACGATTTTCTGAAAACTAATTAATTAAAATAGTTGTTTGATACATTATAAACACACTGTCAATATATTACATGAGAATCTGTTCTATTTTCGATGAATATAATTGTTTAAATCTACAGATTCTAAGAAATAAACTTTTATTAGATTATTATCTAACATGATGATAATAGTACGAAACTTATTTTTATAGTGTCAAATACCCATAATGATAAAAATATTAATTATAAATTCGCGGTTCGGGTATTTTCCCTTATAGCTTAACACTTAGGTATGCACTTTCTTAATGTAGCTAATATTCGGGTGTTTCGTCCGTATTTTAAAACGTTCGAATAAGAATATAATAGATTCATTACGTACAGAAATGATAAAAAAATGAAGGAATGAATAATCATTAATCGTCTCCCGTTTAACTAATAATTTCATTTATTTTATTCTGGTAACACTAATGACACTGTTTGGTTCGGCTGCGATTTGGCTCCGATTACGTTTCAGTTTAGTAAACGTTCGTTTGATAATTTACGTTAGCGGAATGCAAATTTACAGCAAAAATCGAAACGTAACCGTTACAGAAACGCTATTGATGATCGATCGTTGTAAATTAGTAGAATTGGCCCCCAGGCTCCGATGTTATCGCGAGAATAATAGATCGCCTGATCATCGTATGATTTACGACTCTGGCTTCATTTATAAGCGGCAGCGTATATGATAGCGATTTTAGTCACTAGAAATCTTTAGCTTAGATTTCAAATGGCAAGAAGTAGATAAACTTTAATTATAATATTAAAGTCCCCATATTTGCATACATTACTTATACAAAATTAAATATGATATATCGTTATTCTTGTCAGTCTTACAATTTAACGGAAATAATTAAGAAACAATGTTTTTGTATAAGTAGAACTAAATTTTTAGTGGAATAAAGCTTTTTTTTTCTCGGTGCAGCATATGGACAGTGATAACTGATTCAATAATCTGAAAAAGAGTTATGTATTATTTGATACAAAATGCGAGCATTCGACCATACCTTAATGAATTAATGCCAATATTTCCAAAGAATTTGTGTTTTCTACAAAGAAAACACAAATTCTTTGGAAATATTGGCATTAAGCTCGAACTCCTTTCCTAAAACTACAAACTTTTAGGAAAATGAAGGCTATTGAAATTAAATATACGTGAAAATTCTAATAAATGTAAAGGTTAGAATATACCACCACACTGGAATCCAGTATCCAGATTACCATCCATACAAAATTTTAGTATTGTAAGCGTTCCATTTAATAATTACAAGACGACAAAAATCTTAGTCTAAGTAACACGGGACCTGTAAAACGAAACGTCTGAAACATGAACAAAAAATTTTAAATACACGCGATAAAAAAAAAGTAAATTTATTTAAAAAGGGCAGTTTATGTTTAGCTTAACAAAGCAATACGTTTATAGTCTGACTGCACAATATTAAGTAAGAGTTATTTATATAAATGAGCACAATTTCTGCATGATATTAAAAATATATATATAACTCTATCTCACCAAAAGTTGCCTTAATAGTGAAGACAATATTTTAAATAACCAATAGTCCAAAGTTTACAATTCATAGAGAGCTTTACATTTCAATGAGAAGTGTATCAAAATAAAGACTGATGTTTACATCGCTTTACAGATATCAGAGAGCATGAACGAAACGTGGGTGAGCAGTAACGTGCAGTTCATGCCATTACCAGAGGATGACGGCGTACTATTAAAATGCCAAGCAGACAACAGTGCGCTGCCGGGACAAAGTATAGAAGACTCTTTTAAACTAGACGTTGTCTGTGAGTACCGTCTTTATTATTTTGCTACGTGAACTTTTCATTATCCATTCCTATGACAGTTAAGCTTAGAATAACCGCGAATTTGAAAAAAAAAAATAACTATCACACTTTGTTACAATATTATATTCATTATATGGAATCTTCTATAGACTAGAATTCGAATTAAATAAGAACTGTTAATAGCTAATTATAATATTATTCTTACTATAATAAATAATAATATTATTACACTAACCTCATTCAACGTCTTATTTATTTGTTAAAAATATTAGCTTAAGTAATTACTTTAACTTGACTATAAATACGGGTTTAGATTACGACGCCAATTACATCTACAGTACGTTAGTTCTCAACAGTCCAGACTGGATTATGGCCTATATCCCTGTGTACCTTTTATATTAAGTTCTAATCCTCTACTAGTTGAACATAGCTCTTGTGTGTTAAGAGGACAAGTGGATCAATCTTAGCCACTCAAGAATGAACTTACAAACTTTGTTGTCACCCGTTTCCGTGAGCGACAAGAACGGGAGCTTAACTCGGCTCACGATTTTCTTTATAGTGTACTTAACTCAAAGCTTCAAATTAATCAACACGAACACTCCTATACTAAGAATGCCTCGTGAAGTAATTAGTAATTTTTATATCTAAGTTATTTAGATATAATTTATCTAAATAACTTAATAATTTGAAAACTGATTAACTGGATTTATGTTGGTATAATGAAATAATTGATTCGTTTTCATACTTTATACGAAATTAATTATTTAATTAATACAGTTTGACGTGTCAAAATCATAAAAGTATAAAAAGTTTGATAATATTCTCCTATATATTTTTTTAAAACAAAGGGCTTTTTCTTTGTTCAAATGTTTGTCTGTCTACGTCAAACTAAATCAAATGCACTAAATCTTTACTTATGAAATTGCCGTTCTGCCGTACTGGCCATTTTTAAACTAAATATTTTTTTGGCTTATAATCCTTATTCAAAATTAATTTTATTTTACAAACATGGAATTCTTTTTTTCTTAAATTGTCTTTTGTTTAATAGTTAAGTGTTTTGTTTTCAACACATTCGAACATTTTTCGTCGTCATGGATAAGTAAAAATTCGAGTAATTATGCAGTATGAGTACCGTCGAGGCAGCAAACCGGCACAAGTGGTACGCAACATCGACGACGATGACGTTTACGTAGCGAATACTACAAATTAAAAAAAAATAACTACTGCGCAACGCACAAGCAATTATTGGTTTGCCCGCTTCCGCTCTGGAAATTTTATACCCCTCAAAATACCCCTAGAAAAGTAATGGTCACTGTTTGGTGATCTAACGCCGGTGTAATTCATCACAGCTTCTTACCAAAAGGGGCAAGCTGTGAAGAACTGAACACATTGATTGAGAAGCTTGCACGTCTCTAACCATCTTTGGTCAATCGTTCGGCTCCACTGCTCCTAAACGACAACGCGCGACCTCATACTACACAGCAGAGGTTTCCAAACTACAAGAGCTAGGGATGGAAGTTCTCCGTCATCTGCCGTACTCACCAGACCTTGCGCCTACAGACTTCTACTTTTTCCAGATTTTGAATAACTTCTTGGTGGGAAAAATAATACCCGAGAAGCACTACAAAATGCCTTTAACGAATTTGTTGCCTCCCATCCAGCTGATTTCTTCAAGAAGGGCATCAAGCTACCAATGCGTTGGCAAAGATTTAGAAAAACATATAGAAAAATATATCTTTATTTAATTCATGAAAAATGGCATGAATTAAATAAAGATACACGGACTAATATCTGAAATATATAAAAATTGGCTAAAGTATGAAAATTATTGAGAAAGATATTGAAATTATTTTTTTATAAGAGTTTTATCATATCTAAGACCATAAATCTTATGTAGACAAATCAAAAATCGAATAGGTAATGAAAAACAAATAAATAGAACAGGCCCAAACGCGACGGAGTTATGTTATTTAAACACATAGTTTTCACGGCTGCCTTGCAATTCCATGACCATCGTCAGATCCTAAATATTATATCAAATTAAAGTCATTGTACAAACAAGCCAAATGAACTCTAGGTCAATGGGGTAGCCTCGCTTAATTATAGAGTCAGAGCTTATAAGAATGTGTGAATGTGTAAATAATATAAAAATCATATAAATGCAAAATGCGCTAATTCTCAGGCCTGTTTAATAGGAAACTGATCATAGAAAAATAATTTTCATGAAAGTGTCTAAATATCGTCGAAAAGTGTACATTTCCCTCAAGCATATCAACTCCATTTAGAAAATTAGCCACTTCTTAATTCTAACCCATTCTTAGAATGAATATTGCGCAGGAATAAGCCGTAAAGAGCTCGACTCACCAGTTTGCACATCTCTTACATCGTAAAGCTTAATTATCATTGCTGCTTAAGCGCTTGCTCTGCTCTCTACGATTCCCATGAGGAACAGCCACCAGGGCTTAACAAATTGAACCATAATAATATGTAACACGTGCGAGTTTACCACTCGAAAGATTTTATGCTGATTAGTTAATTTATTAAATTCAGTTTTGAAAAAATCAAAACTTATCACCCGTCATCACATGCAAGTGGTATTTAGTTTAATTTATATCTGTAACAAAAATTCCGTAGAATTATCAGTCGTATATTTTTTACGAAGCATGTTTAATCGGCTACGTAACAAAATACCTCAGTTGATCGACTCTTTAAGACATTTTTTTTCTGAGAAAAAATCTAGTTTTTATATTCATAGATAGAAGACAGTAAACTTTGCAATAAAATTGCTAGCGTCCCCACGTTCAGTGGACTCGTGACAGGGCCAACTTATTTCCAACTAATTCCGCTTCATTCGGACTGTGGCCTGGCTGGCATAGCCTCGGATAACCTAGTTTTACCTAGCATATTTCAATATTAAGAACGAGAACAAATTGTAGGTACTTGTTTGCATTTTAAAGTTATGATAACATTTTATGCCAAATATACTCGTATATAACCATGTAATCCATGAGAAATATAATAAGTATAATTAAAGTGTAATTAATCTATTTGCATGTATTACAAATATAATGCATATACCACAAATTGTATCGGACATTGATTTCAAAGAGAGGAGGTTTTATGTTCGCCAGTAGTATGATTTTATTTACAACTAGCTTTCGCCAGCGGCTTCGCCCGCATGGTCCCTTGGGAAGTGTTTAGTGGGATAAAAAGTATCCCATTATCTAAGTCAGCTAATACCCTATCTGTATACCAAATTTCATCAAAATCCGTTCATTAGTTTCGGCGTGATTGACCGACAAACATCCAAACAAAAAAACTTTCACATTTATACTATTAATAGGATATTATTAAGCAAACGTAGGCCTACACAATTTCTTTTTTTTCATCCTAATATTTGTTTTAGTTTTTTATAGCTTATTTTTGGTTTCTGTTTCAATTATGAAAATTTACTGACATCCAATAGGAACTCATTCCACACAAGAACAAAAAATAGTCCACGTTTAAAACGTAGTCAAAATGTAGATATTTATATATCTATAATCGCTGCAAAACTAGGACTACTTAACTAATGCTAAAAAGTACGACTTCTTCAAATTTTTGCGAATTTATTTACAAAATTCTTTAAAATAAAACTTGTGCTGTTCTGACGTTTGATAAAATTTTACTCTTTTCCAACCAATGAGATACAATTTACTATACGTCAATAGTAAATTATTCTTTTTAGCTCTGCCACCTTATAATTTTGTATTGAAATTGTTATCATTCGGTCACTTTAATAAATCTATGGTCACAACTCACTCCATCGTTTTGTTTTTGCTTTTAAAGAGCTAACGAATATTAGTCTATGCATCCGATAAACGACAATAGTGAACAAGAGTAATTTTCGTCCAGCATTGTCGAGGCACTAACGTGTCGATCTGAATATATCGAAATCTTTTTAGTGAGTACCACTCCTGATAAGCCTGGGTATGATCGTTATAATTTTATCAAACAATTAAAAACCTATTTAAAAACATTAGAGCAGTGGAATATAATTTTTAATAGCGATTTATATTTCTTGATGGTGGCAGTCTTATGTACTTTATTATTCTACTTCTAATTAATATACTTATAATTAATATAATAATATTTAAAAAAATTCGTAATTATAGTATAGTTTTCAAATAAAATATTTCGTGTAAAGATTTCTTTAAGTATAACTTATTTAAACTTGAAGTGTCAAATGACCTGACCCGGCATCTACACACTATGTATTCTGGATAAGGTAAACATAAAAGCCTAACTAACTTACAATACTTAATTAAGTTAGTGACAGTAAGCCTACGGTACAACTCAATTAAGTGAATATTAAAATAACGTCATTCGCTTGCGATATTTTAGGTATCCGTGTGGTTGATTTTAATTTCAATTAGCTGTCACCAGTCGCAGTTAATTATGGAATTTTGTGAGCATATTACCTGTTTAAAATATTACCCTCTCAAAATGTCGTGCTGAAAGTGATAGGTTTATTTAAAGGTAGCATATTTTCAATATCAACTTTAGCCTTCTCTATGGATGGAGCCAAATGAAATCAAATAGAGAGAATGAGCCATGACCCACCACGGGCTCTATCTATCGATCGAGACCAGAACGGCTTAACAGTGATTAGCTTAATAAACAAAGAATAAAATATTTTATGCCAATAAGACTTTAAATAGATAGATAATTAAGTTATTCTAAATGCAACACACAACCACATTATACAGAGAATAAAAAATAAAAATAAAGACATAATAGAAAAAATATTAACTAGGAATAAGTCATGTACCTGTGTGTAGCAGAGAGAAAGGGTCTAGGCTCAGTGCATTGAAATCACCGAAATGTCGTTGAAGCACTGATTTTCAGCCATCACCCCAGTTAAGACGAGCAGGGTCAAAATCAAAGAAAAGGAGTGTCAATCGAAAGAACAAACAAAATGTAGATCAAAAACATGTCAGAAAGAAATGTGGTCAATGTTA